AGCTCATAGTTGAAGTGGCCAATCTAGGAGAAAAGAGTAATTTTCCTCCCACACGTATAGGAAGATTTTCCAGGCCTGACTCAGGCACAGAAACAAAAAATTGTGAAAGCTCTCTTCATTCATCTCTGAAAGCTAGCTTCCCTGGTCACACCTTTGTGGATGAAGAATCTAGAATAGGCTTTTCCTTGTGTGACCAAACTCGGGTTCCAAGCTTCCTGTGACAGATCTAGGAACCCGTAGATCCTCATGGCTCTGATGTCATTTCTGAAGATGCCTTTCAAGAGAATGCAAGACCAACGTCCCCAGACACTAACAAAATGGAACACTTGTTCTTCCTGCCCCCATTTCCTTGGAAGGGACCCCATGTCTCAACCTGGTCAAACGAGTAGGAGAGTTTTATTTTTAAAACAACGGTTTAATCACTTGAAGATTGTGGTTCTTCTTCTTCTGTAACTCTTTTTTTTTTTTTTTAAGATTTTATTTATTTATTTGAGACAGAGAGAATGAGAGACAGAGAGCATGAGAGGGGGGAGGGTCAGAGGGAGAAGCAGACTCCCCGCCGAGCAGGGAGCCCAATGCGGGACTCGATCCCAGGACTCCAGGATCATGACCTGAGCCGAAGGCAGTCGCTTAACCAACTGAGCCACCCAGGCGCCCCTTCTTCTGTAACTCTTAAATAAAACCCACTGTGCCTTCTCTTTTCTTCCCTGCTAGTGGTTCACTCCTGCAGGCTTTAAGAAAAGGGCTCTTCCTTTGTATTGCTTTGTGCTGAGAATCCATCCATCAATCATGAAAATTCAGCAGTGCCAGTTTATTAAACTCATTCATAGGATGTTTTTAAGGGCCATGCTTGGCCCAGATCATGATTTACTCTCATTCTAACCATGATTTACATAGACTCAAATTTTTAACACATTCCCTTTCTTTGTATCATAAACCACATCACTGAAATACAGCAAGACACACTATACTGCATCCTGTGAAGAAGATAACCATGCCTTAAGAACATCAAAGTAATAGCAGTAGTACAGCCAATGAGACCTGGCACTCCAGGGCTAACCTCAGGATTCCCTACTTGTAATCCGTGAAGTCCTGTTTGAGTTACTCGATTATTCTAGTCCTCGGTTTCATTATCTGCAAAATGGGGATATGATAAACAGTATCTTCCTCAAAGCATTGTTGGGATAACTAAAAGAGATCGTCCATGTAAAGCATATGGCATGGTGCCTACCTTGTACCAGACATTGGTTATTATTATTCCAATATGTTACAAAATTTTGACCATTTCCTGAGTCAACCAGAGCCCTACAGATTAAAAAAAAAAAAAAAAAGGTAATCCAAACTCTAATCTAAGATCTCAAAGAAAGCGCTTGTAACTTGTTCCAAGGGGCATGCTCTTTCATTGGTATTAATCCCAATATACTTGGCTCAGGTACTGGCTTCAGGCTTTTTCTGCTCTCAGACAGTGGTCTAATAGAGTGAACGCCCCTCTGAGAGCCAAGAGGTGTGGCTTATTGTCTGAACTTGGCCACCAATCCCCTAATTGACCTTGACAAACACTTTCTCCATATTTGATTCTCAAGTTTCTCATCTGAATATATATATATATATATATATATATATATATATATATATATACACATATACATATACATATACATATTCTCTTGCAGACCAAGGATTCGGTGAATTATAAAGGCTCAGTAGTCATTTCCAAAGACACCTTTCCTAAAGGTCCCTGGAGAAGTGGAGAATTCTACCCACTGGTGGAGGATCTTTTAGGAAGCAGGGGAAGGAATAAGGGCAGGGTCTTTTCCTAAGACAAAAAAACACATACGAGATTACAATTCCTTTTAAAAGAATCCTTTCTAACATGATGGACCAATCAGTCAGCCACACTCTAGGGGACCCTACTGAGTACAAGGTACCATTTTGTACAGAGGAATAGAAGACAGCATTCTAGAAGGCAACACTGAGGTTGAAAAGCAGGCTTTGAAAAGGTAACAAGCATAGCAATACAGTAAATATTCTCCCTCTGACCCTCCCCCCTCTCATGCTCTCTGTCTCTCATGTATGTAAATTTAATTGATTACAGGGAACTCGTATATGAGGTTGCCCTGCCCCCTAAGCACCTGCTCTAGGCACTTTGCATATATTAACTCTTCCATTCTCCCAGCAACCTTAATGAGATATTAAGGATTATTATCCTGATGAGCAAACCATGGCATACAAAGCTTAGTCAACTTGTACAGGGTTCCATAGGTAGTAGGTGTTGGAGCTAAGGTTTAAATCCAAGTAGCCTAGCTCTAGGTTAGTTCATTTTGCTCACCACTAAGGCTTAAAAGGATAAGCTGGGCCAAGTGGGGACAGAACAGACATGAGGTGAGCAGGAGAGAGCTCTAACGATAGCAGAAGCGAGTAACTTAATATAGCTGCAAGCCCGAGTGTTCAGACCTTCACAAGTCAAGAGGAAGTGAAATGAATCACCACCCAATGTCAGTACCCTATCATCCTGAGCCAATTAGGAATGTTCCTTCCATAGTTCTGTTCTCCTTTGTGCTTCCAAAGTAACAACGCACTCCATTTGAAACCCAGTATTTTATATTCAATTGACATCGGCTTTCCAAATATTATAAGGCTCTTTCTTGTGACAGTGCTGACATTGGAGTTCAGACATGAAAATAATAGAATTTATTATTCAATTCTAGCACAAATAAGATAATAGCATTGGGAACCTATGAATTGTATTCATGCCCCCATCTGACAGATCAGAAAAAGGAAGTTCAAAGAAACCAGCTTCACTCACAGTGAGCCACTGACAGAGTGGATGATCTGGAGCCAGAGGAAGTCTTTCCAGCCTGCCAGCCGAGGCAAGTGAAAAACCTAAAGCCATGTGCAACTTTAAGCTGGACCAATGATGACGAGGTGACATTTTTAAGGTCATCACTGAGAAGCATTCAGGAAAGGAAAGGAAGCGGAGACTCAGGCTTGGGGTCTACAAGAAAGACCTCTTCACAGTAAAAATGGACCCTACATGGAAAGGAATCTTTGCAAAGGAATGAGTTCTCAGGCACTGGGAGTGTCCCAAGGCGAGGGTGTTTAGAACCTCCTAGAATGGTCTGCCCCAACCCAGCGGGAAGAAACCCACTTGCCCCAACAAAGCAGAGAGGGTCATCTGATGATAATGAGCAGGCATTTGAGTAGACCTCAGGAATGTCATGGAAAGGATTCCTGATGGCCACGATCCATTACAACTCCAAGGTGTTGTGATGATGGTGGGGATGATGAAGATGCAGAAAATGAGGAAGACAGGGATTAGACACACTAAAAATTATCGTTGTTGTTTTAAAAATCTCATGACCAAGTCTCTAACCAAGCTGGTTTGAAATTCATCAGTCAGCCGACAAAGAATAATTGGAGCTTGTACGATTCGTTGTTAGAAGAAATTCAGACATGTTTCTTTCCTTGACTGAACTGCTGTGTGGCTAACTTACTGATTTCCAAGCTGGTATGCATATGCCTCTCTCTGACTGTGCCCCGTCCTTAGGTAGCGCTCTTGGTAATACAGATTTTCTGTAGTTCTATAGGGAGTGAGGGTGGCTTATCGTGATGCCTCGGGGGAGTATTCCAGTTTCCCCTCCAGATACCAAGCAGGTTATTGGCAAGCAGACAGAGGACTCAGTACTGGGGAATAGAAAAAGCATTGCCCCGAAGAAGCAATGAAGGTGCACTCTCTGAGCAACTTTGTGCTTCCCCCGTGGAGCTCGCCGGCCACAGGACATTGCCATTCCCCACATCTTAGCCAGGACACTGAGCAGTCTGTTCAGTCTAAAACCCAGACCACACCAAGAAGTAGGCAAGAAAATAAAAATTATGTAACTGTTGATCATGACTACCACACCAACAAGTTGGACTGATTTTATTATTTCATTGACCTGACCAAAGCCTTCTCTTGGTACTGGGGATGAGCCTACGGTGTTGCCAGAGTTCCATTTACTTGTTTCCTTTATAAAGTAACTCTGAATTTCAAGCCAGGGATTACAAGGTTCCAAAGCCAGGCTTAGCTTTCTGTTCCCCCGCCCTAAAAATGATCCGTATGCTGTGTGATCTATGGCAAGTTGCTTGACCTCTCTGGCATTGAGGGAAAACGAGGGGCTTGACTGAGGCTAATTTTAAGGTCTTCTTCAGTTTTAGAAATATTTTCTTCATTCTGAAGGAATTGGATTCTTCTCCATTTAGTGACTCCAAGATGGTTTCAGGAAACTAGACAGGACTAAGGCAAGTGCATATTCCTTGTTGACCTTCCAGAAGCTTTTAAGCCTGGACAGTGAAATCACTGAGCCTTCTGGATAATCAAAATTAAGTTAGCACCATTATGCAGGGATGCCTGGCGCAGACAAGAGAAGGGCATGGAATACACTGGGCGATCAGTTGGGTTTCTCTGTGTGAAATTAAAGGGCTTTGCACTCGCTGGAGTTGTCTTAGGCTGCTCTCTCTTCTAAGATTCTGTGATCTTATTTTTTAATAGTTTTCGTGAAAAAGGAGGCAGGAAGACTCGGACGAAACCTTTCCCTGTGTCCCCCACCTAACAAGAAATAGAGAAAGACGCTTTAATGACTTAAGTTTACAAATGAAGAAAGTCCATATGAATTTGATTCGTGACATATATGGCTGAGTGCTCTTCTGTTTTGTTCAAGTGATGCTAGTTCAGAGAGAGGAGAGCTGGAGAATCTTGTGCAGAATCCCCGCCCATTCCTTTTTGCTGGGAACAGAATTGGATTCACTCCTGGGCTCTCACTGGAAGGTTGGAGGGAGGGATGGAGATAATGCTCTGTGAAGAGTTAATTAAGATATGGATCCCTCCTTTAAAAAAAAGTTTTAATATTTTTTTTTCTTGCTGTTTGCCCTTAACTCCAAACACCAGAAAAACTTAACTCTTCCAGAAGTCCAGTTTTGCTGTGAAGTAATTTATTCTCCTTCTTTTTTTTTTTTAATTACAGTATTCTCAAATGAGGGATGAAGTATTCAAGTCAAACTTGGTCTGTGCATTTATCGTTCTTCTATTTATCACGGCGATACAAAGTTTGCTTCCTTCTTCAAGGTAAATACGAAAGGACTAAGTTTTCAGGTGAAATGTCTTTGTGAGTTGATGGTCCCTCACCTGGAGCCAGCCAGCTGACCTTTCCAAGGGATCGGAATTTAAAATAACAGGATCCAGGATCCACACCAAAATGTTTGACAATATCAGTGTCTATCCTGGTTGTCTTACTCTGCATCATCTCATTGCTCTGCAATGAGTCTTTTTCACGATCTTAATAAAAACAACCAAAATCAAAATAAGCCCCAGTCTTATGTGACATTGCACCCGTGAATGCAGCAAGTAAGTATTAGGACCTCTACCACCACCGTCTTGTGCTTCTGTTAATCACCTCTTTGTTGTTCATAGATACAGCATCAAAGCTTCCTGGGCCAGCAAAACTGGCCCTTTTGTTATACCACAAACACCTACATGTGGCCAGTCACTGTTCCAAATACTTTCCATGCAACAACCCATGAAATCCTCATGGCAACCCTATGAGGTAGGTACTACTATTGTCCCCATTTTAAAGAGGAGAGTACTGAGGCTCAGAGTCATGGAATAATTTGTACCAGGTTTCACCACTGAAAAAGTTACAGCCTGCATTCAAACCCAGAAAGTCTCCCTCCAGAGTATGGACTCTTGACATTCTATCAGACATGGGCATATATATTGTACAGGTCGTCAGTGCCAGAGCCAGCATTTGAACTTAGTTCTGGGTTAGTCGAGGGGCCATGCTTTGTGCTCTTCCTGTACTTTAAGGAAGCCCCCACATCCTTTCTCAGGTAAAGTCCCTTCTCCTTAAACTTACTGTGAATTTTCCCTTTTAATGGGATCGACACATACCTGTGAAATGTCTCATACAGGCTAGCAATATGCCAGACCTTGAGGATGGTATAATGTTGTAAGAGGAGGTCTCCATCCTCTAAGATGTAATTTATTGGGAGAGAGAGAGACATCAGTGATGACTTCCAGTTAATGAGCACTTATTACATAGAAAGCACTAAAACCTTGGCATGCATTGTCTCAGCAAAGCCTCAAAGGCAACCAGTAAGTGAGAGAACACTCTGATTCCCATTTTGTAATGGCTGAGTTGGGAATTGAACCCAGAGACAGAGTCTGTACTTTTGACTACCTACCTACTCTGTACCAAAATCAGTAATTCATTCTGACCAGATGGCTGAAGGAAGAGTTTGCAGAAAAGATAGTATTTTGAGCTGAGCAGGATGAGATAAAAAGAATAAGTGGAAGGGCATTCCCAGTTTAAAAAAACAGCACTGGCAAAAGCACAGGGGTGTGCAAAACCTTGTGTTTGTAGCGTAGTGGACACATGAGAGAGTCCAGAGTAAAGGGTTTGTGTGAGGATGTGGTGGGCGCAATAGCAGAAGAAGGAGTGAGCTAGTGCAGGTTCAGTGTCTACAATGATAAAAAGTGTTCAAGCTAAGTAACATTCCGAGAATGGCCATGCTTGACCTTCTCTGGATTAGCAGGGATACTAGGAGAAAGAGAAAGGGGACTCCAGGGAGATGGTGGCAGAAGGTGGTGTACTTCGGAACAGCTAGATAGCAAAACCAAACACTTCGTGGGCTGTATTTACAACAAAAACAGGTGAGATGATAGCCCCATACGTTCCCAAATGGAAGTGGGTGGTGATAGTCTCCCAATAGCCCCAGGATTGGTATGACATCAGCATCCATGTAGGAGGAATCAGAAACAAGCAAGTAGGCATCTGTCACGTCTGAGAACAAAAGAGCCCCAGTGCAGCCAATAGATGGAAGTACCGCAGGGCAAACTGAGAAAGCAGCTGGAAGCAGGAGGGGTTTGCCCAGTCTGGCATCCAGTGAGTGCAAAGGCCCACAGTAAGTTCTGAAGAGCTGAAACTGTCACACACTGGGAACCTGCCAGACCAACCACCCGTCTCCCCCGCAAGAGAGCGCCTTGGAAGGATCTGTGTGAGGGGCATCAGGAGAACTCACAATAAAGACTATAGAGAAGAAGAAAAGCCAGGGTCATTGTAAAAGTGGAAAGAGAATGTAGCCGTCACGCTTTTGAACACCACATGAAAGCAACCAAAGAGAGAGCTCTGTAGAGTTAAAAAATAAACTCTCCTAAACCACACTTATTTCTGGAAGTTCAGGAAAGTTAACTTGACACAAAAATGAGCAACAAATCATATTGGTGGCAATCCCATACCAAGCTATTATCAGAAAAAAGAGGGAAAAAAGTAGATCGATACCCTTACAGTCGATGAAAACGTTCCAAAAATACAGCCCCACAGCATATATCAAATCTACAACCTACTACCTCAAAAGAATTGAAGCATCTCATGTGGTTCAAGACACAAATTAACAACCTAAACCAGAAGTAGAAAAACTTAGAAATTCAATAAGATAGCTCAGGAAGGAAATAAAAATGAAAAGAGATACATTTCGGAAATGAGGACCTAAGAAGAGGGAATACAGAGCACATAAAGACGCAAATAGTGCCTTAAAAGGAACAGAAGGTAAAAAGGAAGAATTTTTTTAATAAAAAAGAAGTGTAAAAGGCGGAGCGCCCTCCCCCACACTTTCCCACCACACTGACAAGAATCCAGAAAATTAATGGTGGACTATAGCTGAAAGAACTGCAAGACACAGACTCTTTCTGAGGAGGAGTTCTCAGGGGAGCCCAGTTCAAGAGGGGAGACAAAAACAAGGACACAAGAGGAATATGAAGCCACTGGTACATATATAGCTACTGAAAACACTAAATGTAGCCCAACTCCAATAGAAAAATCAACAAAACTGAAATCTCCAAGGAGATTTACTTAAATCCTCACAGTAAAGATCAATTCGCCTCAGTTTCTCAAACCTCATACAATGTGACCAGTTTTCAACAAAAAAATTACAAGGTATGCCAAAAGGAAAGAAGAGACAAAGCAATCATTAGAATCAGACTCAGGGATGACAAAGATGCTGAAATTATCAGAAAAAGAATTTAAAATAACTATTTTTAAGGTATTGAGTGTTCTTCACAAATTTGCACGTCATGCTTGCACAGAGGCCATGCTAATCTTCTCTGTATTGTTCCAGTTTTAGTATATGTGCTGCTGCAGTAAGTACAATATAGTAAGTTCTAATGGAAAAATTAGACACCATGCAAGAACAGATGGGCAGTATAAGTAGAAAACTCTAAGAAAGAATCAAACGGAAGTGCTAGAAATAAAAACACTGCAACAGAAATAATGAATGGGCTCATCAGTAGACACAACAAGGCCAAGGAAAGAATCAGGGAGCTTGAATATAGGTCAACGAACTCTCAAACTAAATATAAAGGAAAAAAATAAGTGAAAAAAAAAAACAGGTCAAAGTATTTAAGAACCCACTTTAAACATAGAAAATCAAATATGTTAAAAGTAGGGGTGCCTGGGTGGCTCAGTCGTTAAGCGTCTGCCTTCGGCTCAGGTCATGATCCCAGGGTCCTGGGATCGAGCCCCGCATCGGGCTCCCTGCTCAGCGGGAAGCCTGCTTCTCCCTCCTCCACTCCCCCTGCTTGTGTTCCCTCTCTCGCTGTGTCTCTCTCTGTCAAATAAATAAATAAAATCTTTAAAAAAAAAATATGTTAAAAGTAAAGGGATGGAGAAAGATATACTATGCTAACACTAATCAAAAGAAAGCTGTAGTAACTGTACTAATTTTAGTCAGAGTAAACTCAGAACAAGGAAAATTATCAGCGGTGAAGAGGACATTATATCATGATAAAAAAAATCACTTCTCAAAGAATACATAACAATATGTATGTTATGTCTTGTATCTACCTATGAAGAAAGTGTCAAAATACATGAAGATTAAATAACACATGGGATAAAAAAGAAATCTCAAGAGAAATTTCAAAATATTTTCACCTAAGTGAAAATGAAAATACAATTTGTCAAAATTTGTAAGATGCAATGAAAGCAGTGCTTAGAGGGAAATTTACAGTAATCAATGCATATATGACAAGAGAAGGATCTAAAAATCAATAATCTAAGTTCTACCTTGGGAAACCAGAGAAAGAAAAGGAATTTAAACCTAAAACAAGTAGAAAATAAGAAATCATATAAATTAGGTCAGAAACCAATGAATTTGGAAACAGGAAAATAATAGAAAAATCAACAAAACTGAAATCTGGTTCTTTGAAAATATCAATAAAATCAATAACCCCCTGGCCAAGTAAACAGAAGAGAGAGGCAAAGAAAGTGTCACGCACACAAATTACCAGTATCATAAGTGAAAGAAAGGTATTCACTACTGATCCCAGGGGCATTAAAATGATAATAAAAGAATATATGCCCATAAATTTGATGACTGAGATGACATAGACCAATTTGTTGAATGAGACACAAACTACCCAGATCCACACAAGAAGAAAAGGCTAACCTGAATAGCCCTATATCGATTAAAGAAATGGAGTCAGTGATTTTAAAACTGACTAAAAAAATAAAACGCCAGACCTAAATGGTTTCACTGGTGAATTCTACCAAAGATTTAAAGAAAAAATACCAATTCTACACAATCTCTTCCAAAAATTAGAGGTGGAAGGAACAGTTCTTAACTCATTTTATGAGGTCAGCATTATCCTAATACCAAAATCCAGTAAAGACTTTGAAATAAAGGAGAACTACAGACCAATATCTTTCATCAACAGAGACACAAAAATTCTCAACAAAATGTTAGCAAATCAAATCCAACAATGTGTGAAAATAATAATACACCATAACCAAATAGCCTATATTGCAGATAGGCAAGACTTATTCAGCATTTGAAAATCAGTGTAATCCACCCTATCAACAAGCTAAAGAAGAAAAATCATACGATCACATCAATTGATGCAGAAAAAAACATTTGACAAAATCCAATGCCTATTTAAAGTAAAAACTCTCAGAAAACTAGGAATAGAAGGGAACTTCCTTAACTTGGTAAACACAGTCTACAAAGAACCTATAGCTAGCATCATCCTTAGTGGTGATAGACAGGAACCTTTCCCCTTAATATCAGAAACAAGAC